GTACAAAGTGAACATTCTCATTCCCTGTCAGACTGGAGTAAAGGCAAATCTTGGGCGGGGAATCAAGTAAAAACTGTTGATATGTGTTTAACTCAGAGAATCCTTGAGGCTGCCCTCACAATGCTGCCAGTGTTAGACAAGATCGCTGTTCCCTCAGCGGAGCTCTAGAAAGAGCTGGTTTGTATCAGTGATCACACTGAACGAAAAATATACATCTTTTGGGGAGAGTCGAGGGATAAATTAGGAGTTCGAGATTTGCAGATACACACTCATATATAAAACAGATAAACAACAAGGTCGCAGTGTACAGCACAGGGAACTGTATTCAATACCTTGCAATAGCCTATATGAAAAAGAACATGAAAAGGAGTGTATATATGTGTATCTGAAGCACTGTGTCCGCCAGAAACTAACACAACATTGTGAACCAACTACACTTCAATAAAAAAAAAAAAGTTGAAAGAAAGAAAAAGATGCATCTTTGAACAGAGAATCACTCCAACCACTCAGGAGGCACTGAGATGATCCAGGAATGAGAAGAACAAAGGTAAAAGACTGGTGGCACCAGGGCTCTGATCTTATGCCCTTTCTGGTAGAATATATTCTTTAATGGTTGGCAGAAATGCCCGCTTATTTAAGAAACAAAACAACGTAACAAAAGCAATAAGAAACCTCTGTGTGTGTGCACGCACATGTGTGTATGTGTGTATATATAAAGCAGTGAATAGAGTTGAAAATATATATTAAATGCCCCTTTGATGTAGCATCAGTGGATTTAAGATGATTGTTTTCTTGTTTGAATTGTCTTCGGGAGTCTTTAAATTCAATGAGTTTACGCTGCCTTGTTCACCATTGCGTCCCCAGGGCCAAGCATCACACCTGTTTTCAATAAATGTTTGTCTATCAGGAGGCAGTCCTGCACAAGGTTTAAGAGCACAGACTCCGATCTGAATCCCTGCTCTGCCACTCCCAGCTGGGAGCCTGCACGCACCTTCTCTGCGCCTCAGCATTCTCATCTGAAAAATGGGGAGAATCATACTCACTGTATTAACCTAGATGGACTGAGTCACCTTCTAACAACCAACCCCCCTATCCCGGCGACTTAAAGTAACAAAGGCTTATGTTGTCGTTGTCGCATTGCACGTTCTTCACAGGTTGGCCAGGACCCTGCTCTGTCATCCTGGTCCTCGCTCCGTGAGCCAGACTGCCGGGACAGGCACACCCGGCGCTGTGCCAGCTGCCCTAGCAGAGTGAGAAGAACATCCTTCAGGGTCAAACATCGGTAATTAAATGCTGGGGCTGGAAGCAGCACAGGTCACTTCCAGAACTCGTGGAGGGGAGGGCTGTTCAGGGAATACAAACCTGCCACGTGCCCAGGAGGCAGAGAGGCAAAAAAGACCACCCTCTTGGGGTCGTCATGGCGATGAAAGGGCTCAAGGTCCAGAAAGCATTCGGAAGAGTACCTGGCGCCTGGCTACATACGCTATGTAAGAGTCTGCTGCTACTGTTACTATTAATAAACTAAATGAATTCAAAAATTCTGCAGGCCAACATCAACTCACCTTCCAGGCTTCTCCTTATTGGACTGAGTGTGGTTCAAGGTTTCAAGGTGGCTGATCCACTATTCCCTTTTAGCTACCAGTGAGTGCCGATGCCTCACGGAACAGCCCCTTACCTCCCTTCAGCACAGACAAGGGCAGCCCGCAGGGTGTCCCTCCAGCCTCGCCTGCCTTGAGATGACTTTTGCAGCCTCACTAGATCCAGAGAGGCAATCCAGGGGAACCTGCCAAAGGTTAATGACCCCTGGTAACTTTTAGGCGTTACATGCTGTGAAGATCCCCGTTCTAAATGTGTTTCGTACAAAAATATTTATGCTGCAAGCTGTAGCATGCAAGCGGCAATCTGCATTTATTGGTTTCAGATGCCAATTTCCTCCAGCTCCGGCTCTGCTTTGTGTTATATAAACAAATCTCAACCATCTGGACCACAACAAGCCACACTGAAGCATGTGCCCACGCCTTGCAAAAGCATCAAATCAAAATACAAGCACACAGAATTCTGCCTCACAGAAAACTGGACTGAACATCACAGTCCTCAAGAAGCTGTTAGGAAAAAAAAGTGTTCTTTAGGCGTCAGAACCTAGAATTTAAATAGGATCACAGAAATGAGCATATCGGAGTATTTATCATGTTGATAAGCAGAAACAAAGATAACCAGAAGATCATATCCTGGGGTGTTACCTATATTAAGAGCAGGCCAAGCCAGGACTTTCCAAATTACCTCAAACAGGAAAAGGGCTTAGGAAAAGTATCTCCGATAGATGGGAAAACAGAAAAGAGATGACCGCCAGACTTAATCATGAAAGTCAGAAAGCAAGAGCTTTAATTCCCACCCAACTAAGAGGTTAAAATGTATGCTTTATAATAATTGCAACAAACAAGTTAAACTCTAGTCCACCAACATCACGAAATGATGAATCCAAAAAGTAGGTTGTGCCAAGAAGGAAAGAACTTCGCCAAAGTGAGTAACTTCGCCAAAGCAAGTTACACGTGTCACTACCTCCCCACCTGGACCTCTAAATTAAAACTAAGCTTCACCTATGAGGTCTTATCTCCCTGATAATTCCAGGCTGCTGAAGGCATTCATCTTCCCAAAGCCAAATATTTCAGACAGCCCCCACAGCCACCTTTGGCCATAGGCAAATACAAGCGCTGGAAAGGCGTCTTGATTCTTTTCCCTTTACCTAAAAATATCTCCCACCCACTCAGCACAGTGCCCCCAAGTGTCCACCCTTCAGGAAGGATAACCACCATCAGAATTCGTGGCTCAGATTCACGAACTTTGAACACTGTGGTAAGACTATCCTGAGAGAAGGACATACGGACAATGAGTTTTATTAAGATAGCTGGGAGGAGGGAGACGAATGGACGTAAAAGAAGAAAAGTTTGGAACATGAAGAGAAACATATGGCAATAAAAACGGGAGCTGTGAGGCTCCTCAAACACTTTTTTCTCTAGAGTCTCGGTGATCCTGCCTCTGTGATTAGTTCATTTGGTATCTGATCATCTTTCTTTGTCGCCCTCAACACTGTACAAATAATCACATCAAAACTGAGTCTGGATCAGGTTATTGGACATCCTGGAGACATTCCACAAACGCAGGCTGTAACATCGCACCAAGGCGAAAGATTTTCGGTCTCATTTAATAAGTTTAATTAGGTAGACACTGGCCAATTATAAAATTCACCTCCTTGACTATAAAATTTTGTGATCTCAATCATTTCAAGCCGGTTCCACTGAGCTACATCATATTGTTTTCACCTCAGTATTTTATCAGGGTTATATTAAAGTCAAATACTGTTTGTCAAACTGTGATGTATCAACTTTGCATGCAAATTAAATGAGAATATTTGGTAATCTATTATTCAATCACAGATCAGCCCAAAATAGACATGGACAGATTCCCGTGAACCACTCCCCAGCCATTTCTATGTAACCAGCTCTGGTTCATTGGATCAGCCATTCTTGAGCTGCACTCCTGAATGAGATTAGCAACCCCCTAAATCTTCCTGTTTTAATCTACTGAGAAGTATTTAATCAGGAAAGAATCAAAACCTCTATTAAACCTCTAAGGGAAATCCTTCTAATTGTTGATATTTAAATAGATGACATAACAAGAAAATATGGAAGTGTATCTCATGGTTAATGTCAGGTAGATTTCAGGGAAAGTGCTCTGAATAAACCATGACCTGTGCTATAACCTGGTTATAATCCAAGAGCAGAATTCCCAGTTTCTTTGCAAAAGGGCTGTGTGCCATTTTCTTGCTTCAATAGTATGGTGATCATAGCTCTTGGGGTTCTAATCACATGTAATTCCTTGGATTTCAAGCTATTTTTAGCCTATCATTTCAACTACTCAACTCCAAAATAATATAATTATAAAACTATCTTTAAACGGCTTGAAATAATTCCTAGTCCTCTGGGCTATCAGGATGGCTTACCAAACCAACCAAATCCAGAACAAAGACTTCCAGTAACTGTGTTCAGACAACAGAGTATGGACTTGAGCACTGGGTAAAAACAGCCCAAGTCTGTGAAACAGCAACCACAAATCCTGCTCTTAATCTTACACAGAGGCACACTTCAGTTTAGAAAAAAAGGCCCTTTCCTATCTCCCAAAAGAGCTGGCCGTGTTTTAAACACAGCGTAATAGTGGACATTTACAATTGAAAATCCACATCCAGCAGGGAAGGTCTGAGCCATTTAGACTCCCTACTTAAAAGGGGAGAGAAAACCGAAACGAACTTCAGAAAGATTTCCAAAAGGAATATTTACTGATTTCCAAGAATACGTACACTAAATCAAGTTTGCTCTTTAAAATGCAAACTTCATCTTCTGGAAAATCCTTGGACACACACAACCTCATTCCCTAATTATTTCAAATCAAGGAGGGAAGCGTGTTCATGCAAATTCTTAAAACACACGTGAAACAATTAGTGAGCAAAGCAAGACGGAGACAGTCAACCAATTCATCTTTCTAAAAAGTGCAACAGGACCCAGTTGAAGAAGCTATTTTTAGAACCGACATCAAACTGCAGGAGGGTTGGGGTGAAAACAGAGCTTGGGCTGTCGAGGAAAGGCAATTTATGGTTTGAGCAGAATAGGGGGAAATAAAACTTTTTTTTTAAAATAAATCTGCTCCCTAGCCCAAGGGGTATCTCCCGCAATGACTGTTCCCTGCACCACTGTTTTGTAAGACGGACATCAGAGCTGCAGACAGTGAGATTCCACTCATCACAGTCTCATGTCCAACCTTGTCCTGTGCACCCCAAGTGTGGACTGGGAACAGAACAGGCTCCTCTTCTCCTGCTATGCACGCCAAGAAGAGGGCCAAGTAAACATTTTCAAAAACTTCCAAACATCAACCACAAAGGAGCAACAGAAATAGCTGGAAGATAACGCCCCATCTCCTCACCTTCCAGGAGCAGCCAGCCTTCTTACCTTGCTCTCTTCTCCTTCAAACACCGACTGGTGGACGTTGCAGGCAAACAGTGAGTTGGGGAGGTCGTTGAAGTCAGTGATTGCTTGAAAGGCCTCCTCCGTGAAGCACTGAGTCACAGCCCAGTCTCTGTCTACGCAGCAGAGCAGCAAGAGCCCTCCATCGTCCGGGACGTGGCCCTGCTGCCCCAGGCTCCTCATTCCAATGAAGTAAGATTCTCCCCTCATTCCTGAGGACAAAGAGACAGCTGTGGGTTAGAGGAGGGCTCGATTCCTCAGGACCTGGTTGGAAGGACGCAGTTCTGGAGTGTCCAGGGCAGAGCAGGGGAGCATGACTAGGAGAAGCAGCAGGGGCTATTAGAAGCGGCAAGACCCAGCAAGTTCACACTTTCCCCTTGATCTCTGAGTTACAATTTCCCACCCAGGCCTGCTCCTGGGCAAGAATCCAGTCCATGCTGTGGGCAAAAACACCTTCCACCTGACCAGGATTGGAGCTGGGAGGCCAGGGGCTCTGGCCCTGCTGTCAGGGGCCAGACTTGGGACCTGGGAAAGTTCCATAAACTCTCTGAGCCTTGCTTCCCTAAAAGAAATCAAATGCACTCAAACAAAAACGCACATAGGAAAGTTCTTTGATGAGTTATATACCACAACCACACTACTAATGCTTAGCATTTCTTGAGTTCCAGGAACCATTCTTAATGGTTTACATGCAGTAACTAATCTATTGAGATCTGCACCGTTGTCTATGAGATTGGTACCAATATTACCCCCATTTTGCAGAGGGGAAAACTGAGGAACTAAGCAAGTAACTTTTACAGGAAAATGGCAGGACCAGGATTCAAACTCAGGGAGTCCAACACCAGAGTCCACTCTCCTATAGCACAGACATGAAATAAAGATCAAAATCAGTGCAAGTCTATCTTTAACGAAGTACAGTCTATTTCATCACCACCTGAATTCTGATTAGGGTAACTCTAATAGTTCATTGTTCATCCACAGTGAGGATGGACACACACATACACACACACACACACACACACACACACACACCCTTCTGCCTGGGATAATTACTCTAAGTAATTTATGAACCCTGGATCTTAAAAAATCAGTACTATCTTGGCCATTCCATGGTCTATAGACCCCCTTCCCTCACAGCCCCCGATACGAAGCTTCTCAGTATGAATCTCATCTACCTGGATTCCATCACCCTGCCATTTCATCACCCCTTACATTCGAAATCTACCCAACTGCAGCCAGTTAAAGAGTCTTCCCACTTTTTGATACTGGAATTGGTACATAATTCAATAGATTTTGTCGGCCTTCCCACATACTTCAAGGACAGTCAGTATCTACCTTTTTCTTTCGTATCTGTTTTCAAGCCTATCATACTGTTCTGTTCAAAGAGCAATAATTAAAGGCCTGGAAGGTGAAATAATTTGCCCCTGGGCACCCAGGTGAGGCTGCCTGGCACTTACGAGGTGGCTGCCAGACCGTCTGCAGGAAGCTCCACTTCCCCCATCCCAGCAAAGCAGAGCCGCAGGGTCAAGGACGGAAAGGAGCAGCACAAAGTGTCACTCTGCCCCCATCAAGTTCAGTTAAGACACAAGTTCCGGATCCCCAGACAAATGCGGCTTTCTACCCGTATCTCCCTTGAATTCTGAGTGTAGCATTATGATGAGGTTGTTTCTTTGTTTTTATTTTTCCTAGAAACAAAGCCCCAATGGGATCCTGATAAACAGTATTTGGGGGCAACATAAAAGAGGAATTACATCTAAACTCGTAGGCCTGGCTGGGAATAGGAGCCAAAACTCAAAGAATTTCAAATAAGAACTCAAAACTCAGATCACTATCTGTGGAAATTAAAAATGTTATCCTATATATATCTTAACAGAGCCACTCTTGTAGTTTAATGTCTCAGAACTCCAGTAAATGAAGTCTTTTCTGTATTTAAATCAACAAAATATTTATTTTAAACAAAAATATGGTACATATTTTAAACTTTGTTTCATTCTATAATTAATGCAAAATATATGCATATTTTTAATTAGAAGAAAAAGAACTCAATGAAACAACTCATGTACTTACCTTCCTTCATATTCATTTATACTGCTGCTTCAGATATTTTAGTATACTATGCATAATAACTATCATTTATCATTATTAGAGTACTAATTATTTTAAGAGTAAATATAATTACTGAGAATATTAAGGTAGTTTTACAATTGACCTATTAAAAAATTTTATTTATTAGATGGAGGTACTGGGGATTGAACCCAGGACCTCATGCATGCTAAGCATGCGCTCTGCCACTGAGCTATACCCTCCCCCTACGGTTGACCATTGAACAACGCTGGGGTTAGGGGCTCCATCTGACTACACAGTAGAAAATTCAAGTATGACTTTACAGTTGGCCTTCCTTATACAGGGTTCTGCATCTTCGGTTTCAATCAACTGCAGATCCTTTACTACTGTAGTGCGTATTTATTGAAAAACATCTGCGTATATGTGGATCCGTGCAGTTCAAACCCGTGTTGTTCAAGGGTCCACTGTATTTTCATCAACAGATTATAGGAAAGTCTTCTGATAATAAAGTTATCCAGCAGCATGAAATAAAGATATTAAGTGTCACTTCTGATTTTATTTTTAATCCTGCCCCTCTTATTTAACATTTTTTAATCAAAATGGATCCCATAATGTTCTTAAGTGGGTCTGAGAATGTTTCAATTATTCTTTTTCCAAAGAGAATTAAAATCCATTGCTGAACAAATTAATTAAATAGCCCAAATATTAAGCCTCACTCAGGACTCATTTTAATCTACTCAAATAGCCTTAACTTCTGTTCTAAGCTGTAACAATACGATTACCTTCATGAGACTTTATTTTAAGCTCATTACTTTCAGTAAAGATTTAAAAGGTGAACGCATTTTTGGCAAACAACCTATTCTACTTATGCGGAGAAATGTTTTAGAGTCAGAGCTCTGAACAAAGAAACCCTGGTTTCTCTTCCCAGTTCCATTACTGACTCACAATTTAGAGAAATCAGTTGATCATTCTATGACTCCATTTATCTTTATAAAACAGGAGCAAGAAACTCTATCTGCCTCCCTCAAATGAGAAGGAAGAGACAGGGGAATGAAATAGGAATTTTTTAAAAGTGATCAAAATTAGCATTAACCATTTATAAAAGGATATGTACCAGTGAATACTATAAAAGCACATCATTGCTATCATCTCAAAGCAAGACTATTACGCTTTGGTACTACCACTAACCTTCAGTAAACTCAAGTAAACAGAAAGAAAGGGAAACACTGAAGATTAAAAGAACTCCCTCATAAGGAAGGGTCAAGGCTCTTCAGCCCCAAATAACTAGTTTATCTTTTAAAGTTAATTTCAAAACTCTTATTAATTGCTGTGAAATAGCTTTGAGGCTACAATTGCCCACATGGCATAAGAAGATTTATGCTGTCATTATTCTAAATCGGAGGCTGGCCATCCAGAAGAGAATAGCTGCTTTCAGCTCTACACACAACCCTTCCGGGAGGGCTCCCCAAACTCCCTCGAGACCTGTGAACCCAGCATCCTTCCTTGGCAGCACTCAGGAGGACCCAGTACAGCCCTGTCATAGCCCATCTCTACACCACGATCACTGTGTCTCCAACCAGACTGGTATTTCCTGCGAGCAGAGACTGAGCTGCCTTCATTCTGCCATCTTCAGCCTGGTACATCTAAGAAAGCCCGCAAGACGATGTTGGACTGAATTAATGAATTCTGTAAAAAAGGAGTCTCTACCAGGAGACAACAGACCAGCAGATGCGTTATAGTGGCCAACTTAAAACATGTACACTGAAAATAACGTTATTTATTTCAAATGTGTATGCTAATAATAAAAACTCACTCATTTCAAATGTAATTTTAAAAATGAAAGAAAACAAGAAATCATTCAAAGCATTCCTCCAGCTAAAACTGAAAATCTGTGGAGTGTAATTAAGGTAACATTTACACTTTCTGATTATATGAGTTAACTGAAGAAAAAAACTGGAAAAATCAGAAAAGTATTTAAAAAAAAAAAGAGGGAAGAAAAGTAAACCATAATCCTACTATCCAGAAAACTCTGCTAAGAGGTTGGTATATTTAGTTCTAGCATTTTGGGTTTTTTTTTATGTATAATTTTGAAACAAACTTGAGATCTTGCTGTTCTGTATCTCACATTTTTCACAAAACATTTGATACAGCCATGAGCAGTTCCCTGCATCATTATATAATCTTTGAAAACATTAATTTTAATAGCCACGCAGCATCCCACTGTATAGATCTGTCATAATTTATTTAAGCATTCTTCTGTTGTTTGACATTTAGAAAGCATAAGTTTCCATCATTACGTGCATCTGGAAAAGAAAAACCACCATCCACTTTTAAAATATGAAGTCTCCCCTGGGAGAACCTCACAACTTCTTCAGATGCAGAGACGTTTTTATGAAATACTGGAAAGAGCTCCAAGGGTCTACTTGGGCTCTAGTCCTGCTGTAAGTTGCATGCCTTCTGGGCCGTGGTTTTCATGTCAGCAAAATGGAGCAACACTGTGGCCTTGTCTACTGCAAACATCAAGTGAGAGGAGGCAAGTAAAAGTCTTTGGAAGCTTCCAAAACAACGCGTGAATTAAAGCTATTTATCACTGTGTACAGGCTTGTCTGGAGCAGAGGAACCCAGCACCACAGAGCTGGCCACCGTCTACTGCTGGTGAGGGTGTAAACAAGTTTCAAACTTCAGTGAATGTCCATAACCTTAAGCTCATGTCATTACAACGAGAAACAGGCAGGGATGCCCCTTGACCATTTGGTATGGGTCTGGTTGGAGGGTGACTAGAGGGGAAAGATATTTGTAAGGCAAAAGACAGCAATTAAAATAAAAAAAAACAAAAAAGAATCCTGCCCCTCGTCCAAACACTACCAAAAGCAAAATAACTATTTATTTAGATACTACCAAGTAGGTGACAATGAGCATATAAATCATTTTTGACTCATTTTAATAGAAAAGGAAGCCTGGAAAGAGGAAGATTTCCAACTATTTCATTACTTTGCTATATGATGTAAAAATGATTTCATCCAAGATCCTCAGATAACCCAACAGCACTTATTAAATAAAGATTAAAGGACCTAAAATGAAGACAGTATGGTTCCTAGTATGTAGACCAACCGTTACTTGACACTTAAAGATGCCTGTTCAGCAACAA